AATCTGGACCTCCCTAGGTTCTGCTATGCCAGAACCAGAGAGCTTGAGAGCATTTGATTCCGATGGAGATGGAAGATACTCATTCCTCGAGCTAAGGGTAGCTTTAGGTATCTAGCCTCATCAGGCATATTTTAGAAATGGACTGCCTAATATCTACTTACCTAACAACAAAACAACCCTTACTTACCCATCAGTCCTCTAGTCCTCCAAACTACTGTAGCAGATACTTTGCCACCTTTTAACTTGTTTGAAGAAGCTATATAAAAGTTATTTTTTTAAAGAAGAAGACCATTTTACTTATGATGTTCAGAAATCTATGATTTCCTAAAACTAGTAAGATCTTACATTTTAAAATTGCCAGAAAAAAAAATTAAAGCCCTCTTTTTTTCTCTTTCCTTTTTTTGAGGGGAGGAGACCTTATCTTTTAAAGCTGGGAAATGTATATAGAGAGAGAATAAGCCACCTTTTATATTTCACTTAAATTTGCCTTAAATTAGCTGCACTTTATAGAGACTCAGAAAATGGCTTTTCTTTAAAAGATAGGCCTTTTCTGTGTGTAAATACTTAAATGAAAGAAAGCATTGTGCATATTGTGTGGAAAGTAGGAAGAATGGTTTTGAACAGGATGTGAACAAATGACTTATTAAAAATTGCTGATCTGGTGTGGGTGGCAGCTGAAACTGCATCCATGTCTCCATAAGGCATCTCTCAAAGACCCAGGCGCTGCCAGGGGGTTTGTCCTGGTAGCTGGAGGAACCGATTTCAGGGAGTAGACCCTGGAGACAGTACTGACTCCAGGCATGGCTCATGGAAGTAGGATTCTGGTTCTTTGTTCCTATTCCCTCAGCTAAACCCAACCTGGGAATCAGAGAGGTCTTGGGGATTTTTCTCATTTTTAGTACTATTTCAGGGTTTATGAGCATAAAAAGTTATCCACTGGGGAGCTCCATTTTCCCCGCTGAGTGAGCTAGATTGCCTTCCCCCACCCACCCACTTAAGTCTGTCTTAAAGCCGTAGCTGGCTCCCACCACCAGTACAATCTCCATTCTGAATGGCAGGACTAAATTCCCCAGCCACTGTCTCACACTGACCACCCAGAGCTTTAGAAGAGAGCTGTGCTTCTAATTTTGACCCAGAAAACCATACCCCTTGAGATTTTACCTAGAGGCTAATCAAGAGCCTGATATGTTTCTCTGGGGGATGACTAAAGCCAAAAAGGTTGTGAGATGAAACATGTGAAATAATATTCCGTTTCCTTACAATTATCAGCTCAGAAGTAGCTAGAGGCTTTCTATCCAAAGGATGCCAAAGTATAGCAGGGCAGGCCTGGAGCTGGGGCCTTCACATGGTGGTAGCAAGTTTTTCAAATCTAATACAAGCAAGTACAATACTTCCTATTAATGCTTCTGTGGACCTGGCATGAAAGATCCCTAGATTGAAAGAAATAATACCTCCATGTCTCCTGTATGTTGAGTCTAGAATTGCTGTGTTGTTCTTAGAAGCAGTCTTGGGGCAACAACTCGAAAGGAAAAAAAACTACGAAAACTTAACATTGCTATAGGCCAAGTCAGGGAGAAAGTAGAGAAGCTTTCATGCCACAGACTTCTTTAGTGGAGGTCATTTCCTTTTTAATTTTGTTCAGGTTGCCCTTCGGCCATGGATACAGTCCAGTACCCTTACACATTTAAGGGCTGTTTTTTTCTTTACATGATGTTCAGCTTGGTGTTGACTAACCTTAAATTTTTTTTTCTAGAAGTATTAAAATTTAGTTAAAGCAAAATGAAGTCTTTTCCCATGAATGTGTCCCCTTATCTCATTATAGCTTATGCTCAGTTTCACTTTCTTGGAAAGGTTAAAACAAATTAGCCTGGCACTTTAGGTAACTTGAAAATAACTCTCACCCTTCTGGCTGCCTTCCATCCACTCTCACCCTCCACCTTTTTTTAATATATATACACCCTTACAGATTTTCTAACAACCAAATAAAATTCTAGCAATAAATTGAATTATACTGCTATATTTGTATATACTGTACCATAAATAGTATGTCTGTACCTGGAAGGTATTTTTTTGAAAACTGATTTATATGAAATATACTTGAGGGTAATGTAGCTTGTCCTTTTTAGTTTCAGATTCTTATTCATAGGCAGATACTTTGAAGACACCTTAACTCTTTGTTGTGTGTACTTTTCCCTTGCATCAGATAGCTATATGTGGAGAAATCCATTTTGTTTTTTGATTTATCTTCTGTTCTTCCTTCCTTGTGCTTGTCTGACTAGTATCATCCCTGAGCCAGTATATAGTACCATCCTCTCCCCCTACCAAGTTTGGCAGAGGTGTTTATGCTGCATTCTCAGATCTATGAATATTTTTGTCATCCTGCCTGAGAAAGTACTATATCTTCCAGGCAAAAGTAGGGTATCTTGAACTCCTGAGTTGAGCAGACTCACTGGCTTAAGCGTCCCATAAGCCTATTATTTAGTGTGAATTTGGTACTTTTATTTGTATGTTGTCTTAACTTACTGAGCCTGTGACTTGTATTCAGTGTAGTCAAGCCTCACCAGCCATATCTCATCTCTGAGAGGAAGATTGGATAGTGAATTTGGTTTGGGTTTTGGTTTTAAATCCTTTTACCTTTTCAGTCTGGCAGCTCCTACTGCTGCTTTCCTAAGTTACTCACTGCTTCTTGGTCCTTGTTTTCTTTTGCCTTGTACTATCTCGTATAATGTTTACTAAAAGAGCCTCCCCATAAATCAGAGAGGCAAAAAGGTAGCATAGAAAAAGAAGAACCAAAAGAAGAGAATACCTGACTTCGAGATGACTGTGGTGTCATCTAAAAGGCAGAGAGGTGCCTGACCCTCAGGAATGTGTGTGATGCAACAGAGCTGAAGAGTGGGTTCCCGTCACCTACTGCTGGCCATTGTCCCTTCTGTTGGAGATTCCTTTCTTTATGGTTGCTGTTCATAACCCCTTCAACACCCCCGCTTGCTGGTCCTGCCGGTCACAGTTGAGGATTTTGGCTGTGATGGGCTCATACTTATAATGGCCTGTTGAGTTGTTTTTAGTGACAGGTTTTGTTTGCTGCACACCTCATTGGCTTGCTTACCAGCACCAGCTAGATGTGGTCCCTCTTTCATATCCAAACCGGAACACATTTGGGTATTCCTGAGACTTTATAGAGCGTGTATTGTTTGTTATACGAACCTAACCTACCTTATTGTTTTCTCATATTAAGAAATTTAAATCTACTTTGTTTTAGTGGAGCTATTTTGGTAACATATAAGCAATTTTGGTTCTGTTTAGGGAGAATTCAGGGTTTCCATGACTTGATTTGAGCTTTGCATATTTCATATAAGTAACACAGCCATTTTAATTTAGCTAAATAAAAAAATTTCTTTTTCTCTCAATGTGTCTTGACTAAAGCCTCTCTCACTCCCCTGCGATTTCTAAGGGAAAAAAAAATCTGCTTTGATTTCTATTTTTATGGACGCCTTACGCCTTTTGAAAGCAAGGAGTAACACATGGTGGGCCCAAAGTAATTAAGAATCTGCCTTAAGGACTGTGATATTTGGCCTGAAGAAGCAAAGGCCGCAAGGTTCAGGCGTTATGCATCCAGAGGATGGGAGGGGCAAGGTGAGGCAGGAGTGAGCCCTGCCCCTGTGTCTACCCAAGATGCTCCACTTAGGCCTGTTTTATATTTTGAGAATCAATATAAAAGCGTGTTTGCCATAAATGTTCCACCACCTTTAAAAAAAAAAAAAAAAAAAAAAAAGCTTAAAATCTGTTGCTAAAGAGGGGTCATACAGGAGCTAAAGCTTTTTCACATACAGAAAAAAAATAAATTAACTCTACATGTTTGTTTGCTAGATTCTGGATACCTCCTCCCCTTCCCCGCACACAGAATCTGGTGACCTTCCCCCTTAGTCATTATGTAAATGACTATACATAAAGCTTTTATTACTTACAAATATAATGAGAGGATTTGTTCATTTCCAAAAGGAAAGGGAGAAACATATATCCTGTGATAGAGCTGGGCTTTCTTACCTCAAAACTGGAGCCAAATGGCCAGTATTATCTTTGTCTCACCTTTTAGAACCATTTCCAGAAGTACAAACATTATTAATATTCCCATGTGATGGATCTTAATTTTGGGGAGGGGGACATGGATTCCTGTAGGAAAGGTAAAAACTATGGATATATGTCTACTTATAATGTTAGGCAGTTCACTGACCAGCCCTTCCTCCAAGCCAATTCATGGACCAACTTAATGACACCCTACGTACAATCCAAAGCATTCACCAAGCGTTTTCTAACGCAACATATCATTAGGGAAGGGGCACTATGGTGTATGGTGGGAAGATCAGTACCTTTGATGATCAATGACTTTCATACCAGTAACTTTGATGAAAGGCAGATGTAGATTTGAGAACTGGCTCTGCAACTAAGAAAGGTATGGCATAAGCCCTTGGAACCTGTCTCTTATCCATAAGAGGAGGATCATGATATCCATTTGGCAGTGTTCTTGTGAGTTGTTAGAAATAATGTACAGAGGCAACCATGTTAGAGCTACATACATCATAGATAATAACAAAGAATGTATTTCATCCCGTAGTGTAGTGTGGCTCACAGGGCTCGTGATGACTCGTTTTGCCTGTGCCATAGCCACTGTAAATCACCATAGCTCACACCCTCAGCAGCTATCACTCTTGTGGCAACTGTGCTTCACATCCCACAGAACACCAGTGCCTTGGGGTACCCAGGCCAGGGCCTGGCACACGTTTTTGTTTTAAATACTGAACAGAGGGATATTGAGTCCATCCACAAGCACTGGTTCAGTGCATCTCCCCACAGCCAACCTCCAGTGCCAGTTCATATTGGTGAGACTCAGCAACCAACTTGGTTTGCAAAGTGACCCCATCAGACAGGAAGGACATTGCCTTCCTAACAGCAAATGAGACACAAGGGAGCCTTGGACTTTTTTTTTTTTTTTTTTTTTTTTTTTTTAATTTCATAGCATGACATCCAGGTGGGTCCTGACCTCTGTCAATACCGCCTTCCTGAGGTTAGTTCCATTTCCTACTCTGCACCTGATTCCTGCAGCTCCCACCCTCAGTGAGAGGAGGCTACAATTCTGAAGCAAAAGGCTTGGCATTGAAGCTGTGGTCTTTATGGGCCAGATTCGGGAGGGAATGGAAGAGAACATTCCTTTCAGGACAGGTGGCTGAAGGATAGGAGACAGAGTGGTTCAGCAGCGGGGGTAGGTTGCACAAGGGTGGGGCAAAGGGCACCTCCTGAAAGATGGGAAGTGGAAATGGGGAGCTGGCCTGGGGCTGCTGTGGAGCCCCCTGCAGTGCAGGTTGCAGGGGAGCGGGGTCTTCCGCCTTGGGGTTACTGACTTGGTCAGCATAGCTCCTGCCTTCGGGGATGTCCAACTCCCACAGAACATCTGGATTCTGGACCTCAGTCTCAGTCTTGGTGACAGCAGGGGGAGGGCCCGTGTTGATGGCTGCATTCATGCCGTAGCGCCGTCGCTTGTTAATCCAGTACAACAGTGGGCTGTAGGTGAACGTGGCAGCTCTCATCACCTCCACCCACTGCTGGGCACGCTCTTCCCGCCTCAAGTTCTTCCTCCAGTGCAGAAAGATAATGCACCCTCCAGTTATCACAGAACACAGCCCCAGGAATCCGAAGTACAATGAGACCCACACTAAGGCAACAAGAAAGAAAAAGAGGCATGCTGGCTGATAGCTGTAGCTTGGGGCCTGAACTGTTTCTCATTCCTCTTTCACTTAACCCATTCATCAATCACTCCATCCACTTAACTACTCTCACCATTCCTTCCCTCCCTCGTTGACTTGCCTCATCATTCTCTTATTCAGTCAAAGCTAGATTTCCAGGGAGCTTACGCACCACCTTTAACTCTTTATAGATCAGAAAAGCTATGTCTAGAGGGGCCATGTGCTGCCCAGGCTCAGTCAAGCCTCTGATTCCTAACCCAGGACCCATCCAATCCATCAGACTGAGAAGTTTCACTATGGGCAAGTCCATCAAGAAGTAAAAGTTCACCAGCACTTTGTAAGGCCCAGGCGGGCAGATCACCTGAGGTCAGGAGTTTGAGTCCAGCCTGGCCAACATGGTGAAACCCCATCTCTACTAAAAATTTTAAAAATAGCCAGGTGTGGTGGTGCACGCCTGCAGTCCCAGCTACTTGAGAGGCTGAAGCAGGAGAATAACTTGAATCCAGGAGGTGGAGGTTGCAGTGAGCCTAGATTGCGCCACTGCACTCCAGCCTGGGCAACAGAGCAAAACTTCATCTCAAAAAAAAAAAAAAGTGAAAGTTCATCAGTTGACAGAGCCACCAATGTCCCATCCCACTCCATTCAGCTGTGATGGTCCTGGGCTATTGATAGTATCTTCTCTGGTTGATCAGAGCATGGTCTTTGCCTTAAACGAATCCTTAGTTTTCTAGAGTAGACTATCTCCTAACTGCTTAGCTCTCTTCCATGCAGCCAGGCACTGTCCCATCCATGCAAAGTGTTTGTCCCCAAGCCCTAAGGCACAAGTCCAGTGACAGGGACTGGAGGAGCACTTACTCCCAGGGAAACGCAGGTCCTCCTGTTGGGAATCCATATGGCTGAGCTTTGGTACCTGGCCAATGGCTCTGGGGAGAGGGAACTCACCCACCCATCTGCCCAGCCAGTCAGCCCATCTGCCCAGCCAATCAGAGTCTCCAGAATGCCCAGGCCCTTTGTTCTCTAAAGGAGAGGTCACTGGGTTCTGAGCATTGGGCATTCTAGGGGCAGTGCTTGTGAAGTGGTCCTGGGTTAATGGAAGGAGGGGACTTTATCCAGTGGCATTTTTTGGGTGGAGTGTCTCTACTACTTCTATCAGAGACTGGTTCACCTATTGAATTGTCTGCCCCTACCCCTTATGGTGAACCCACAGAGCAGACCCCAGGAAAGGGCCGTCATCCCTCAGGGATTTACTGATGTTGCTGATCTTTAGGGAACAGTTGATGGGATACCTGTCCCCAGTGAGGAATGTAACAAGGAACACACAGCATTGGGCAGCCCTGTTCTCAAAAAGTATCTAACCAAGTTGCAGGAAAAAACCTGCTCAAGGGAACCAAGTGGTCAATACCTCCTTCTTTGGCTCCAACAATCTGTCTTTTATTTAGTTACCTTCCTTCAAGTGCTGACAAGTGTTTCCCAGGCACCAGGCCCTGTGAGGCTCCCCACCATCTGGCCTGTATCTCCTGCTAGCCTTACTTCCCTCCTCATCCTCCACACACCTTTCCTTTCTGCCTAGTCCATACTCCTGAACAGACCCTGCTCATTCACATCTCTGGAGGTGTGCTCATGCTGCTCCTTCACCCAGGAGTGCCCCTGCCCACTTTCCCACCACTGAACACCTACTTATCCTGCAGGACTCAGCTCAGCTCCCCTACTCTGTGACAAACTGCCCAGAATCATATCATCTCCCATTTGAAGGAACTTTGAGAGTTGTCTAGTTCATCTCACACCATCTGGTCCTACCATCAGGACCATGCTTGACTCCTCGGGGTAGATTTTTCCCTACACAGCAACTAATCCCCTTGGACTCAGTACTCACTTGAGTCAGGAACTTGCTCACCACCTCCTGAGGCAGCTTGATGCATTTATGGGCAGCTCAGTTAGAAAGCCCTTCCCTAATTAAGCTTAAGTCAGCCTTCCCAGTAGGTTGCACCACTGCTTGTAGCTCAGCCTCTTGGCACGATTTTAATGACTCCCCTCTTTATAGTCCTCCAGTGTGTGACTTAGGGAACTATTTAGCACAGAATTCTCTCCAGGGTCCACTTACTCTTGCTCTCCTCCTATATCACTGGCCCCTACTTTCCATTCTCCTTTGCTGGTTTCCCCCTTTTCCCCTGATCGCTAAATGTAGGCATGTCTAGGGCTCAGTTCTTAGTGCTCTATCTACATTCATTCCATCAGTTATCTCACCCAGACCCCTGGCTTTAAATATCACTATACACTGACAGCATACAACTGTATCTCTCCAGCCTGGAATGCTCCTCAGAACTTTTAGACTCATACCCAAATACCTGGTTGACATCCCTCCTTGCCAGTCTGTTAAATTATCTCAAACCAGTATGTCCAAAACCAAACTCTGATTATCCATCCTCCAAAGTCTACCTACAGCCTTCCTCCTCTTCATAAGTAGCATCTCTGTCCTTCGAGTTGTTCAGGCCAAAAACCTGCAAGTCATCCTTGACTCCTTTCATTCTGTCACACCCACACTGACTCCACCAGCAAGATCTGTAGGCTTTTATTTCAAAATACAACCAAAATCTGGCCACTTTTTTCTCTCACTTTAGTCCAAGTACCACCATCTCTCACTTAGATTACTGTTCTCCCTGTAGGGTGACCAACATCCTGGTTTGCCCAAGACTGGGGTGGTTCTCAGGACATGGGGCTTTCAATGCTAGAGCTAAGAAAGTCCTAGGCAAACTAGGACAAATTAGTCACCCTTGGGAGAGTTTCCATCCTTGCCTCCACATACCCTAAATTCCACCAGCAGCCAGCATGATCCTTTTAAAAAGGATCATGTTGCTCCGCTGCTTAAAACATATAGTAACTTCCGATCTCATTAGATTTAAAATCAAAGTCCTTAACCAAGGCATGAGCAATCGAACTAACCCTCCCTATACCTTCTTGGTCTCATTTCTACCGCTGTGCCCTCATTCAGACTCAATAACCTCCTCATCAGGGCCTTTGCACTTGCTGTTCCTCCTACCTGGAAGGCTCCTCCCCCAGCATTCCCACATTACCTTCAGGTCTCTGCTCAAGCGTCCCCTTATCTCTCTCTCTCTTAGCCTGATGTTTTTCAGCACAGCATGTAGCATCACCTAACATTATATGTTTGTTTATTGTCTGTTTCACTCCTCCAGAATGTAAGCTCAATGAATTAATATAAACAAGGATCTAAGAACTTCAGATAATGATAACTGCTATAAAGAGAATGAAACAGAGCAATGGGATAAAGACTATAAAGAGATGGGGGGTTTGTCATTTGGGTCCCTTGAAGGTGCTTACATGTGAACTGAGCCCTTAGATGATGAGGAGGCAGCCACATGCAAATCCACAGAGAAAACAGCAAGTGTGAGGAGTGTGAGCCAGGTATGGGCTGGCATACTTGAAGGACTTACTCATCTTCCATTACACTGTTCATCGCACAGGGCAGGGCTCAGGGCTGATCTCCATGAGCATAGGTTGGATTGAGCAGAGTTGAAGGCTCTGCCCTTGTCCCGGGAAGGGTTTCAATCAGACAAAACCCAGACAAGAAGGACCTGATGATGAGTACTGTCCCAGAGAGCCCACTCCAGGACTGGCCCCATTCTGTGAGCAGGTGGGACACAGAGATGTTGATGTCACTATCCCTGACCCCAGGACCTCGCACCTGGTTCACACGGTAAGGAAGATTGTGGCATTTGGGTTGAGAGAATGGAAAGAGAGAGGATTCCAGGGGTCAAAAAGGGCCTGAATAAGGACTCTTCAAGGAGTAATCCTGGTGTTTCTTTGGGAGAGAATAGGTCAGTGTGGCTGGAGTTCAAGGAGGATGTCAGGAAGCAGAGGAAAAGGAGGCTTGGGAGGCAGCTGTCATCTTGAAAAGAGCTCAGCTCTCGGGTAGAACTTGAACAAGTCACATAATTACTCTCGGCCTCAGTTTCCTGATTTGTTAAATGAAGATAATACCTGCCACACAGAGTATGAAGCCGATCAGTGTCCTGCACATAGCAACCTCAGTAAAGAGAAGCTTGCTGCTGTGATTATAGTTGATGAAGGACCTTCGATGCTGAAGGACGGACTACTGCAGCGAGTACCTGGCACTACAGCAAGTGCCAGGGGCAAGCACCGCGAGGACCTGGAGGTCCGCTGGCTTTAGAGAGCGGACTTGGCGCGCAGAGGCTGCTGGTCCCAGAGGGAGGAAGGGCGTTGAATTTGGGCAGCCTCCCTGGAGGAGGCGGGCCGTGGCTTACACAGGGCGGCGAGAGCGCGCTGTGCCGGGGCCAGAGCGGCGCGCCCCCTCCTTCCCGCCCCGCCTAGCCGCTCTCCTGCTCCCGGAACGTTGGGCGCGCGGAACCTCGGTGCCGGAGCGCGGGCGCGGCGCACTCGGAGCGGGATGGAGAGGGCGCGCGGGCCGCGGGCCGAGGCCGACGCGCCTGAGGAGGAGGAGGCGGGGGCGGCCATGGCTGCTGTGGTGGTGGCGGCTGCGGGTGGCGCGGGACCGGCGGTCCTGCAGGTGGCCGGTCTCTACCGGGGCCTGTGCGCGGTGCGCAGCCGCGCCCTGGGCCTGGGGCTTGTGTCACCCGCGCAGCTGCGCGTGTTCCCAGTGCGCCGCGGCTCGGGCCGGCCCGAGCAGGGCGCCGACGGCAGCGGGGTCGGGGCTGAGGCCGAGCTCCAGGCCAACCCTTTCTACGACCGCTACCGCGACAAGATCCAGCAGCTGCGCAGGTGCGGGCCCCGGCTGGCTGGAGGCGGGCAGGAGGCGGGAGGAGGGGCGGCCCGGGCTGCTGGGCCTTAGGACAGCCCTGTGAGGTGGGCACTGGTACTGTCCCCACTCTTCAGATGATGTAGCCAGGCTCCACGTGGCTAGGTCACTTGCCCAAGATCACACAGCTAGTTGGTGTCAGAGCTGGGAGTCTGCAAAGCGCTGGCTCGTTCCACGTTTGTCTGTGCTTTGGTTCTCCAAATGCTAAGGTAGACTCTTAAGACAGCCCTGAGGCAGGCAGCTCAGACACCTGTCCTCATTATAGAAATGGGAAAACGCCTTCTAGAGAAGGGACTTGACTTGCTCAAGGTCACATATTAAGACAGCTGAGGCCCTTGTCTGCAAGGAAAGGCGATTGGGGATAGGAGGAGGGCATCAAAGACTAGTAGTGTCACAGTCGGATCACCCATTGAACCCTCTTAAGATAAGGGGACTGAGGAACAGCGAGAGTAGGAGACTTGCCAAAGGTCACACAGCTCTTTGGGATTTGTCTGACTCTGAGTCCAGGGTCCCTAACACCACCCCTTAGCTTCCAGAGGGAAGGCCCTGGAGCTTAGAGGGGCTTGAGGTGCATGTGAGGGGCTATAGGAGAGTCTGAAGAGTTCAAGCGGGAAGAGCTAAAGGAGAACAGAGGTGAAAATTAAAGGGGCTTGGGAGAGAATTTAGCAGGGTAAGAAGGAAACCAAAGAGTTATGAAAGGAAACCAAAGAGTACGGTAAATTCTTTGAGTTCTGTCTCATCTCTACTTCCACTGCCTTAATTTACTCCATCATCATCACTTGGGCTGTTGCCATTATCCTCTAGTGTTCCCTACCTCCATTCCTGGACCCCTTTACCCCAGTTCCTCTCACTGCTACTATAGTGATCTTTCTTGCCATTTGAAACAGTTATGCAGTAAATGAATGAGTATTCTTGCTCTCCTTCCAGCAGCATTGAGATAGTCTCAAGTATTTGTCATCTTAAAAACCTTTCCTTGATATACATTCCCCAACGAGCTTCTCTCGTTGATCTGTATTTGATCTCTTTTACACACAAGCATCCTGAAGAGTTGTCTGCTCATACTTTGAATACTTTATCAGCATCCATTCATTCTTACCCACTCATGAACAAATGAATAACTGGTTTTGCCCTCCTTTCCTACTGGATCATTCCCATCAACATTTATACATACTGTTGTCCCCCCACTGACCTCTAAATAACATCCAAACTCCTTAATGTTCCGCACAAGTTCTTCGCACCCTAGTCCCCGCCAGTGTCTCTCTAGCTTTATCTATTAGCAAACTTCCTTTGAAAAAAAATGGAGAGGAGGGGATGTTCCAGGTAAGGGGAGCAGCAGCATAAACAAAGGTACAGAGGCATGAAACCACCTTAACATTTGGGGATGTTTGAGCAAATTTTCATCATAATACCTGTTGCACTTTCATTTGTTTACTTTTATGCCTGTCTCTCCCACTAGATAGTGAGCTCCTTGAGGTAGGGAGTCTGACTCATTTATTTCTATATCCTCAGATCCCAGCAAGAGCTTCACTGCCCAGGCTGTCCCTTGCCCTCTCTACCCCTTCACTA